CAGTGGGAAACGAGAAGACGGGGATGTACTTGATCGACGTGAAGAACCTAGAAGACCTGGATTTCGCGCGTGGATAGTTTATGTTTGATGTCATACAAATCGAAGACTTAAAAGCGAAAACCGACAAACTTGTCGAAGTAGCAGACAATAAAGACAGGACTCCGGGTAATCATAGACAAGACGGAGGTTATGAAAATAGCCAATCAACAACAGCAGCAGCAACATCCAACGTAAATCACCATCAACGGGAAGGATTTGAAAGAGGTTACTTCATTCACTCACTTATCTAGGGAGCATTGTCTCAACTACAGGAGGAGCGGACGAGGATGTCAAATCGAGAATCGGGAAGGCGAGAAACACATTCATCAACCTGAAACCAATCTGGAAATCTTCGTCACTCAGCCAGCATCAACAACAAAATTCAATCGGATTTTCAATGTAATCGTCAAGTCAGTCAGTTCTTCTATACAGATCAGGAACTTGGCAGGCGGGTCACAAAGGATATTAGCAACAGCCTGTTGCAGACCTTTCTCAACCAACAACTGTCTTCGCTCTATACTGAAGATCAGGAGGCCGGAAAGAATCACCAACAAAGAATTTTGGAAACAAACAAAGCAAGAGCCAATCTACCAAGTAATATGCAGGAGAAAGTGGAGATGGATCGGACAATCGCTGAGGAGACCGCTGGGTGACATCGCACATCAAGCCATCTAGTGGGACGCGGAAGAAAAGCGGCGTGTGGGACGTCCAAGGGTGACATGGAGGAGATCGTGTGAAGAGGAGTTGAAAGAGTATGGACTAAAATGGATGCAGATGAAAAGTACAGCAGAAGACAGAAGCGAGTGGAGACGTGCAGTTGAAGCCTTATGTTCCACTAGGAACCCAAGGGAGCAATGATAAAAAATAAAATATATATTTACTGATGAGCTACTTTAATTACATTCAGTTCAACTATTATTGCTATTATTCCCTTGGGTTTGGAGTGGAACCAAGGGATTCAGCAACACATCTCCACCTTGCTGTTTTTTCTGCCATCTTCTTCAGCTGGGTCCATGATTGTCCACAATCTCTCATCTCCTCCTTCACAAACAAACTCCTCCATATCACAGGACGACACACCCCTCGCTTCTTATTTGGTTCCCACTTTAGAGACTGGGGCGCGAAGTCATTCGACGGCCTCCACAAAATATGTCCGATCTATCTACACTTTATCCTACATATTTGTCTAGCTAATCGCTCATGGTTTGTTTGTTGCTAGAGCTTCATGTTACTTATTCTATATGACCAACCATTTTATTTTCAGTATGGAGGTTACAAATGCAGCCGTTGATAAAGGTCTGCAACTTATTGGAAAGCCTTTACGTGACACGCAGAACTAGCTCCTGACCCGTAAAGAGGAACTCACTGACTGACTTCACATTTGTGTTAGAAATCCTAATTTTGTTGTTCATGATGGTTGAGTGCAGATGATTTCCGAATAGGGTTTCATGTTAATGATGTCACATCTCGCTCTTCCGAATCTGACCTGTTTTTATGTCTTCATCCGTTGTGACTGCCTATGGTTGCCACGATCATTCGAGATAAGTGAAAAAGTATCCCCTGTGATATCTCTTCCGTTGATGGTGTGTGGTGCTGGTTTTTGTTGTTGTTGGTGGTGTTTGGTCGTCTTGATCGACTCCATCCTCTCTATGTTTACTTAGAGTCATGTAGTCTCTGCTTCTTCAGCCAGTTTTCTGCTTTCTCCCTGAATGTCCTACGAGTTTGTGTGACATTAGACACATTTGATCTGCAAAGTCCATATCTTCTAAAGTCTTCTTATCAGCAACCCAGCGTATTCCTGTCTCCTCGCTTTCCACGTAGTCCGAAGCCCAATCTAATCTACTACAATTATGAAAACCATTGGTGACAACAGGCATACAGCCTTGTCTTACCTCTATATTCACTTCGGTCGCCACGTTTTGTGTCAAGGTTATCTCTAAATCTGAGTTGGGTGAACAGCTGCAATTAAAAGCCTGTTGGAAATGCTTCTAGTGACGTAGCCATTATTTGAACCATAGACAGTAGCACTGATTCAGGACTAAGGTTGAAATCCGAAACTTCCTGAGATTTTTTGTGTGAGCTTGTGTGAGCAAAATAAAAGATGTATTTTATTTTTACCACAACAGAAGGTGGTTAGTGCATTTTCATGATGATTAAGTATCTTCATAACTTAATAATTTCGTAATGTCCACCTGAAGTTCTGTGTATGCAGTCTATTCCGCCAACTTTCTTGTTTTATCTAATCACTGGTACATAAATTGCAAGAATCTTCTTTGTGTGATATTTTATCCAACTTTCTGTACATACAACCATCTGGGTTTCTTCTTAGAAGGTTTGTGGAATGGAAAGATGTCTGCGTAAAGAATGTACATGGACATGACACCGGTCGTTATTTTAGGAACCTAATATTTGTTCTTGCGAAAACCTAGGTGTATGACCGAATAAACGTGAAATTCAGAGCAATCAACGGCTCGACATTAGAACACCTGGTTTATTTAGGACAACAATGAATGAATGGTTTTGCCGAAAGTCCCTAAATACAGAATAATCGAAATATTGTAAACAATTCCTCTTTTGGATTCCACACTTATTTCAAAGCTTTCATGAAATTATTCAGTTCGAATGTCTGCCTGCTGAAAGTTATCTGTACACTTTAGCTTGTCTGTTAAGTTTCCTGTCAACCAGCTTGACTGTAGCTGATATGAGGTTGTGGGTAGATGCTAAAAACCATTATACTCAAGACAGATGATCAAACCTCAGTGTATATGTAACGAAAGTATTACGAATTCGTTCCTGTCTGAAATTGTTCTACAGTGCTTTTGGTAACTGTTACGTCGGAGCAGCCAGCAAGAATGTATGGTAACAAGGGTGCGATATCCATCATCAGCGTGTTAGGCTTGCTAATGATTTCATTTTCTCAAACACCAAATGAGCGAATAGAAGGTAGTTTCATACGAGCTTTTCTTGTAGCCGGGTCTCCTTGGTCAGAATCTTCGTCAATGTGTACAGCGAGGAGTCTCAACCGAGGACCAAAATGCTGTCCAGTACAACAAGATTTTTCAGTGATTCACTAACTGATATAAGCTCGTGGTCGATGCCTCAACAAATCAAATCCCTCAAAAACAATACGTCATGATAGAGCTTGAGTGAGTCCTAGGACGTCGCTAATAAAAGTCAGGAACTATTCACTTCTACAAGCTATTTGTATTTCATGTTCTCACCTTTAAGTGATCAACTTTATTTAATTGCGTTGAGAACGCAAGAAACTCACCTCTTTGTTCAAATTTTTAGCTGTAAAAACTTCATTGAGACAGGCGTCATCACAAAACGTTCCAAACGCGGGGAAAGACGTTTATTTTCAAATATTGTAGCAGTTCTATCAATCAATGATAACATCGAGCTTAAAATTACCTCAACTGTGCTGTGTGGCAGCTGTAAAGAAAGTGCACGTTCCTTATTACAAAACTAGTACAAAATAAGTTAATCAAAGTTCTACACTGAAATCTACCACAGAATCAAGGAGAATATTACCAATGAGGTTGGATCAAGAGTTTTGTCCAAAAGCGTCTCACAACAACGCTACCTGGATCAGATTGACCTTCGAAGAAACGCATAGTTTTACACAACACATTGTCAGTGAACATAGAGCCACAAAGTGAACTATCACAATTGACGATTAAATAAGGAAAAGGGCAAATAGTAAAAGTTAAAATTCAACATGTGATATGCAGACGTCAAATTAATGACACAAATTTCAAGGGAGATATGCACGATAATTACAAACCTAGATGATTTTTCTAAACAAGAGTTCATTTTATTATTAGGTTATCCAGGAGGGACTTTCCAAACAATTTGTCCAATACAGCATCTAAAATAATTCCAGAATATTTTCGAGTGTGTCTTAAAGTGTCAATTTCTTTCACATGAAACTACAAGAACGCGATAAGATACCACTAAAAAATTGAAGCAGGAGAACAAGAAGTGAAGACTGACTGTTGACAGGGAGAACTGTTACTGTCTCGTATCAACAGCAAAACTGATTGACAGCGCCTGTGTATATATGTGCTTTAAATGACCGTGAAAGGCACTAACTACATTGATAAATTAAAACACTCAACAACTATGAGGAAAAATGTTTTCTACTAGACTGACCGAGAGGTTTGCGCAGGATGACTATTCCTTGAGAGACATGAATTCACTTTGTGTTGCATGGTTATTCTTATTGACTTCTTTCTTATCATTTCCTTGTCAATTGTTCACTTGGAGTACCACTATACGGATTATTAACAACAATAATGACGAGATATATTCTTTACTATGTCGTTACTTCATTCCTGTAACTACAGTTTTCCAATGAAATTCATCTCACATGATGTATTTGCTAAATGTTGCTTCATAATGGTGCATTCTGTATTGCGTATTTTGTATTTCAATCGATTTATTCTTGTTAGGAACAGTTGCACGTTGCTTACTCTCCAAATTGTGTTACCTTACACAGCGTCGTCTTTTTTCCATATTGATTCATACTGAAAGTGCATATAAGGATGCACAACACAGACACTTTACATTAGGGGCTTAGGAAATCCTATCTATTATATTAATGTTAAATAACATCTTAATTAATAAAGAGTCTGTGATCTCGATTTTACGCGTAAGTCAGACGTTCGGTTTAATCAGTCGGAAAGTTGATTACAAATGGTCATAACGGATTTCTTCAAAAAAAATCTACAGTTTTTTTTTCCACACCAGTTTTCGGTCTTATTAGGAAAACTAAATATATGAGAAATACAAATAAATGAATAAATGATATGAAGTTAACTTTGTACTCTGAGATATAAACAGCCTATATTTCATCTAAGAAAGATTCGCAAATAGTTAAACTAGCTTGTTATGATGCTGATATCCATATCGATATTTTACTTCAATACGTACAAAGAATTCGTGAATAACGTTGAGATACAAAACGAAATTTGATCATTTTGCGTGCACAGCATTGATTACATTTAACGTGAACAAAGTCAAATAATATATATTTATATATACGAAATAACGTCAGTGTTTTCGAAGACGCATACATCAGAAGACAGGAGTTATTTCAGGTGAGTGAAGTCTTGTCATGTTTTCTCTCTGCTATTTATTTTTGAATCAATTGATTCTTGAGTTTACATGAGTATGAATGAATAGGTGTTATCGATTTTAGTTTATTGCTGATCACAGCTGGCAGGCTTTACTCCATTTTAGACAAGTGACAAAAATTAATAAGCCGGGATCTATCGACTCCATCAGTTGGCAGTATAACTCTACAGTTAAATATTCTGCACACAGAGACATTTACGTCATCAGAATTACGTTGGAAAATCTAAGATAAATAAGTTAATAAACTCCATTGAGCCAGTCATACAAAAACAAAGTCATGATTTTTCTCCAGGACATATTCATATAGGCAAGTGGAAGTGAGTTTCGAAGATTGAAATTAGGCGGATAATCACTAATATGAAAAAGTCATCAGAGAAAGAACTTGAATATATCAAGAATCACTAACGAAATAATGTCGATAATGATAGTATTGGTAATAATAATAATAATAATAATAATAATAATGATAATCTTAAAACAAGTCAAGTTAGTGCTACTGACAGAGACACTTTTAAATGAATCGGGAGTGATAAGAAGAAGAGGTTGAATAAAATAATGTATTAATAAAAATAATTGTGGTTAATAAGTAAAACATTTCACCATGGTTGATTAAGCGTAACTGCCATCACCTTCCCTATACAGAGACTTGTTTTATAAATTGTAATTGAACATGCCTTAGCAATTGCTCTTAACTTCCTGTTTATTATTTGTTGACTGACAGTATTAAATGACTTGACACTATCGCTTTCATGTCCGCTGTATGTAAGACGTCTCGTTATTGATCTATTTGGTACAATGAATTCCACTATTTTCAGCCATCTTTGCAAATCCGCTATCATTCGGGCAGAAAATCATCTTTCCGTCTCAGCAAAACTTTCATTTCTACAAACACTCTCCTACTGAATATACTCAGTTCCGATTTTCGGTAGTTGTCAACCGGTCTCTTCCATATTGTTGAAGCAGTCGTTCGATGATACCGAGGAATTCGAAATTAGCAGCATCATAAATTCTCCTCATAGTTTTATCAAGTCCATTTTTAATACAGTTACACGACAAACACTAGAGTTAGGAAGAAAACAGAATTATGTTTCAGGGATTTTTATTCATTTGTATGAATGAAGCAAATAGCTGTAATAGCTGAATGTCATCTAAAATTTCATCCTCAGTGACTCATCATCCAGGTGTTCACATTTCAGATCTCCAATCTTGTAGTGATGCGTCATCATATAAAACCATACGGTATCACGCATTATATTTCAACAAATGCAAATAAATCATGATAATAAAGTTTTTTTTGTATTTCCCAATGACTGAAAAACAAAACGATATTGCTTTTACTGACGTTTCGCTATTTAATGCTAATAGCTCTCCCACAGTATTATTAAACCGGAATTTACAAATCTCAGCATATATATATATAACAAAGAGTTAAGGGGTGAGAAAATAGACTTAGTTCAACTTAAAAGGACATATTGAAAGTCAAAATAACAATGAAGATCACTAAACAAAATAACAAAGGTAATAGTACGTCTTTTTTTGATTTACAGCTTGATTCCACACTGTATTTTCGGTACAAGTATGGAATTTTCAGCATGGATATCGGTAGCCCAAATTTTGCAGGCCGACCATAGATATCAGATGTGCGTCGGTGCCGGCTCGAACCCCGGACCATGTGCATGGTCGGCGAGAGTCCTAACCACTGTGCCACTGTTACGGTATCAAAATAAAGTTTACTAACTTGATCATCGTTCGTTAGTCTGGGGGCATTTTTGGTTGTCAACTTGTTCACTTGGTAAAGATAACAAAATCAAGTGCAGATTGTTGGATTTTATCAATGTGTAAAATTATGAGTAGTGTGAGTTTACATAGTGAACTTGCTTATCACATTTCTGTTGATTTTGCCACTTCATGTGGGAGGGGGGTGTTGTATCCAGGTCAGATTCTGTCCAGTCTAGCATTCCTATTCAGGCAATTTGGATTCCACTTGATATGAAGTGCTTCTGATATTAGACGTTCTTTGTGGTTTCTGAAGTTTTTCTGGATTATTTCAATGTTGTCAAAATCAAATTCGTGGCCTGATTCTATGGCACGTAGACCTTTGGCTGATGATTTTTCAAATTTTTCTGGTTCAATTGGATTTGTTGGTGATCAAAGAGATGCTCTACGGTGTTCATTTCTTCTGATTTTGATTTCCCGAGATGTTTGTCCGATGTAGATTGCATTACATTCCAAGTATTTTAATTCATAGACACAGTTAGATAGAGAATCTTTAGGGATTTGGTCTTTTATATGGACAAGGTTGTTTTGAATTGTGTCCGATGTTTTGAAGAAAACTCTAATGTCGAGCTGATTGAGCACTCTTCTGATATCGCCTGACGTCTCTCCCCTATATGGAATGATGACTGTTGATGTCCATGTTTTCGGAATTGGTTTTCGGCCATACTTAATGTGTGTGGATTTTGTTGATGAAGTTTCTTGGGTAGTTGTTTTGCTTGAGAGTTTCAGTAATGTTTGATATTTCTTCTTCTTTCTCTTGCTCATCCGTTATCAGAGAGTGTGCTCGTCTAAGAAGACTTGAAACATTTGAAATATTTGCGCTGATGAGCTGTGATGATTTGAAGTCTAAATATTTATTGGAGTGTGTTTTCTTCCTGAATATGGATATACTAAAATGTTCGTTTTCCTTTCTCTTAACTAGGCAGTCTAGAAATGGTAGTTCACCGACGTCTGATTCTGCTTCCTAAGTGAACTGGATTTTAAGAGATACACAGTTTATTTTCTCCAGCAATGAATTGCGTAGATCTCGTTTTAGTACTACAAAAGTATCACCCATGAACTTGACAACCAAAATGACCCCATACTGAGGAACGATAATCAAGTATTTCACAATCTACACTTAGTTTGGTTATCTTTACCTATTCTCCAACTTGACAACCAAAAATGCCCCCAGACTAACGAACGATGATCAAGTTAGTAAACTTTATTTTGATACCGTAACAGTGGCACAGTGGTTAGGACTCTCGCCGACCATGCACATGGTCCGGGGTTCGAGCCGGCACCGACGCACATCTGATATCTATGGTCGGCCTGCAAAATTTGGGCTACCGATATCCATGCTGAAAATTCCATACTTGTACCGAAAATACAGTGTGGAATCAAGCTGTAAATCAAAAAAAGACGTACTATTACCTTTGTTATTTTGTTTAGTGATCTTCATTGTTATTTTGACTTTCAATATGTCCTTTTAAGTTGAACTAAGTCTATTTTCTCACCCCTTAACTCTTTGTTATATATATATATGCTGAGATTTGTAAATTCCGGTTTAATAATACTGTGGGAGAGCTATTAGCATTAAATAGCGAAACGTCAGTAAAAGCAATATCGTTTTGTTTTTCAGTCATTGGGAAATACAAAAAAAACTTTATTATCATGATTTATTTGCATTTGTTGAAATATAATGCGTGATACCGTATGGTTTTATATGATGACGCATCACTACAAGATTGGAGATCTGAAATGTGAACACCTGGATGATGAGTCACTGAGGATGAAATTTTAGATGACATTCAGCTATTACAGCTATTTGCTTCATTCATACAAATGAATAAAAATCCCTGAAACATAATTCTGTTTTCTTCCTAACTCTAGTGTTTGTCGTGTAACTGTATTAAAAATGGACTTGATAAAACTATGAGGAGAATTTATGATGCTGCTAATTTCGAATTCCTCGGTATCATCGAACGACTGCTTCAACAATATGGAAGAGACCGGTTGACAACTACCGAAAATCGGAACTGAGTATATTCAGTAGGAGAGTGTTTGTAGAAATGAAAGTTTTGCTGAGACGGAAAGATGATTTTCTGCCCGAATGATAGCGGATTTGCAAAGATGGCTGAAAATAGTGGAATTCATTGTACCAAATAGATCAATAACGAGACGTCTTACATACAGCGGACATGAAAGCGATAGTGTCAAGTCATTTAATACTGTCAGTCAACAAATAATAAACAGGAAGTTAAGAGCAATTGCTAAGGCATGTTCAATTACAATTTATAAAACAAGTCTCTGTATAGGGAAGGTGATGGCAGTTACGCTTAATCAACCATGGTGAAATGTTTTACTTATTAACCACAATTATTTTTATTAATACATTATTTTATTCAACCTCTTCTTCTTATCACTCCCGATTCATTTAAAAGTGTCTCTGTCAGTAGCACTAACTTGACTTGTTTTAAGATTATCATTATTATTATTATTATTGTTATTATTATTATTACCAATACTATCATTATCGACATTATTTCGTTAGTGATTCTTGATATATTCAAGTTCTTTCTCTGATGACTTTTTCATATTAGTGATTATCCGCCTAATTTCAATCTTCGAAACTCACTTCCACTTGCCTATATGAATATGTCCTGGAGAAAAATCATGACTTTGTTTTTGTATGACTGGCTCAATGGAGTTTATTAACTTATTTATCTTAGATTTTCCAACGTAATTCTGATGACGTAAATGTCTCTGTGTGCAGAATATTTAACTGTAGAGTTATACTGCCAACTGATGGAGTCGATAGATCCCGGCTTATTAATTTTTGTCACTTGTCTAAAATGGAGTAAAGCCTGCCAGCTGTGATCAGCAATAAACTAAAATCGATAACACCTATTCATTCATACTCATGTAAACTCAAGAATCAATTGATTCAAAAATAAATAGCAGAGAGAAAACATGACAAGACTTCACTCACCTGAAATAACTCCTGTCTTCTGATGTATGCGTCTTCGAAAACACTGACGTTATTTCGTATATATAAATATATATTATTTGACTTTGAACCACTGGAAAACCTGAGAGTACTGGACAGCTATTTCGTTCAAGTGTGGCACTCTTTAGCAGTACGCACCCACCGGGGTTCGAACCCAGGACCTTCTGGTTACAAGGCGATCTCGTAGACCATTGAGACACTGGGACCCAACCCAATGGTTCTTGAATTCTAACTTCTGCCGATTCACGACATAGCGCGAAGTAGACATTGCGAAGTGGTCGCGCTATGTCGTGAATTGTCAGAAGTTAGTATTCAAGAACCATTGGGTCGTTTCCTAGTGTCTCAATGGTCTACGAGATCGCCTTGTAACCAGAAGGTCCTGGGTTCGAACCCTCGTGGGTGCGTACTGTTGAAGAGTGCCACACTAGGACGAAATAGCTGTCCAGTACTCTCAGGCTTTCCAGTGGTTCTCTAACTGATGTCAGCTCATGAATAAATCCTCCATGAAAACCATTATTATAAAGAACATTATATAACCAATGCTCAAATTTTTTCAAACCGTTAAAAGTGAACTTGGTTTCGACATGTAAAGTGCAAATTAACTCATTCTTTTAGAAAATACATTTAGTTCTGTTAATTTGTCATTAATACTTACGTGTATCAAAAATGTGTTAAAAGATTTATTCAGGTTTCACAGATTATTTATGTGTATTCCTCCGCATCATGATAAATTTCTCCCTGTCAAAGTCAACAAACAAGCGTATATAATGAATTTTATCCAACCATCAATTCCCACTTCTGAGAAAAATTATTTCGGAAACTATGATCAGGTTCTAAGTTTCCAGATCGTAGGTGTTATGAATTTCCTGGAATAATTTGAGCACCGAGTCAGATTGATTCATTATAAATTTCGCGAGATGATATCATTTCGTAGTTTCTTTACAACCGCTTTACAACTAACATGTTCATGAAAATTACTCAGTTAAATAAAAACAAAAGTACATACTAATGACCAAATATATTAAGATAGGTCATGCAGTCCAGGGTAGGTGACCTATCTTAATATGATTGGTTATTAGTATGTACTTTTGTTTTTATTTAACTGAGTAATTTTCATGAACTTTATTTTATCATTGTTAACCATGTTAGAGTGCGCCGGTGGTATAGCGGTTAGGATGCTCGCCGACCATGCATATGGTTCGGGGTTCGATCCCCGGCTGACGCACACCTTTACCTCTCTAAGCCAGAAATAATTCTGGTAAAGAGCAAAGGTTGGGCATGAGGCTAGCAACCCCATCCTGTAAAATAAACTCTGCTACAGAAACTTCAAGCTACTAGCTCGAAGCCCTATGTTCCACTGGGTAACGTGAAGGAAAAAAAACCATGTTAGTTGTAAAGCGGTTGTAAAGAAACTACGAAATGATATCATCTCGCGGCGAAATTTGTCTTCCTAATGCCTTATTCAAATTTATCAAAGGGACTAATTGTTTTAATTGATTCATTATAAATTGTTGAAATTAATCTCAGCGTGTTAAGAAAATCAAAATAAGATTTTGCTGATTTCAATTTGTGTAAAAATGTTTGACTATATATTTTGATGATTAAAAAAAATCCGAATAAATCTGCCGAAGCTGTAGTTTACACAGTGAAACGTTCAGAAAAATCTTGTTTTGGTTTTCTTAACACGCTAGGATTAATTAAATAATTCATGATGAATGATCAGGTTCACTTAGGAATAATAGTGTTTTAAATATTTTTAAATTGAACCTTACGAGCCTTAAGTTCGTCACTTCTACTAGCACATTGTAAGATTTTTTTCATTCCTTCGTTACTTTCATTTTCATTCACAAATTTTAGTACAATCCGTGATGACAGGTTGCATTGCACCCTATATGAATCCGAAGATTAAGAGTCAGGAAACACAAAAGCCCATTTCCACCAACTATGTTTCGGTAAGATTTGCAGGATTTTTGAATATGATAATTTATTCTTAGTTTCTTATCAATTTAGTGCTTACGATGTCGGTCACTGTCGGTTTAGTCATCTTCTTTACCGCTGTGTAAGATTGGATTAAAGAGATGAGAAAATCTTACCTTGCTTTGCAGGCAAAGTATTCCGAATTTTTTCATGGAACGCGTCTACCTGCTGTATATTATGATGTTAGTTATCCGTTGAACATTATTATTTATTCATTGAATTAATTATTCTTTTAATAGATGACGAGTGTAATTCATTTATAGTACATTGTTATTCTCCATTTGTTCAATCTGTTACATGCCGATAACCTCCTTGTTTAAGATGAATAAGGCCGAGGAAATAAATTCATGAAATCTTCATTTCACTGCATTTCATGCAGTATATTATTTGATTAATTTGCTTGAAAGAACCTCTAAAAATAAACTAGTTTTCACGTCAATTCATAAATATTTTTGTTAGGAATAAAAATGCAACAACGGTTATGCCCCCCAATGCGTTGTTGACACGTTTGTTAGGACGCTATTCGATCATGCACATGGACCGGGATTCGATCCCCTGCCTACGCACACCTGATATCAATAGTCGGCTAGATAAATCTGGGCTGTTGACATCACATGCTGACAATTCCATACTTGCATCAAAATACCGTGTGGAAGAAAGCTGTAATTTAACAAAACAAAATAAATAACTATCCATCAATTAGTTATATCAAAATATTTGAACAAATAATAAATAAGTAACTTCTTTTTTTGACCCTTGTATTGTTTACTGCTTTAGAGCAAATGATTTCTTCGTTCCTTGTATTCCCACTGAAATACTGGACTTTATGTTTGAGGCCCTAAAATTTCAGTAGCATTCATGTTGTTTTCTAAGAGATGCGTTTGCTGGCCTCATACACAACACTCCTCTGTCTCAAGCTCACTACTAGCTGTTAAACTAGGCAAGGTTAAGGAGTAAGTTGATTAGGATTTGAATACCAGAACATCTGCTTGATTGGTGCGCATTTCAAAACCGGAACAAAAGACCTACTATTCACTGCTCATAAAATGTGTTCAACTATACAGTTACTTTAAATAACGCACGTCCACTAATGCTGTCTGAAATGAGGACGATTTTCATGCATACTGAATCATAAAATTACTATTTAATTGTGAAATCTACCCTAAAGTATGCTGGTTAAGCAGCTTTTGTCATGAGAGTAAATTTGCTCTGGATACCATAAATCAAGATTTGAAATATGTATGCATGTACGTCATTGGTAAAGACAGGAAGATTATTTTTAAAAAACTTCATCGGATCTTCATGCTAACACAATCAACCATGCGTGTGAAGATAATGGACAACCACTATGTTCTCTTTCAGATAAATGTTTGTGATGACATATATGTGTTCTATAACACTGAACAAATTTGACAGTGATGTAAACGAATAAAATGAAGGATTTATCCTCGAAGACAGGGATCAAATGTGGAATGCTCCATTAACCAAGTATCAGATGATATTACCGTGATTTCTGATGAATCATTTCAATCACTTGCTGGTTAGGAAGTGTTTTGTATGTTTCCGAATTCATTTTAGATCAGCCGTTGCTATTCTCTTACTTCTACTTGCATTAGTGGGAAAAATTCGATCGAACTTTTATGCTGTTTCAATACTACTTTGGATTATGGTAAGTATCAGTATTTCGTTTCCCCTTATAAAACCATGAGAAGTTTTTATATGGAAAATGAAATGACTGCTGTGTCATTTCAATAATGTCTATGACAGTGGTAATCTTGTCAATGAGATTACTTCTACTTTTTCTGACGCCTGCCATTTGCATCTTTCACTGGGAGCCGTAGCAAAAACTGTCACTTAGTATTACGAAATTATGCAAAATATGTGGAGAAGAAGGAAACCGTCTTCGTAGACACTTGTAAATACTTGAACAAATAGAGCTAATACAAGCATAATAAACACTAGTGCAAAGGTACGAATGAACTGAATATTCAGGGCCTTATGCCAAACTGTAATCAGTTTTTAACGATATCCGAAGTAATTTTATAAAGAAACAATTGCACGACAAACATTTGAATCATCAGTCTACAAACATCATGCTGAATATTTCCTGAACAGCCTCCACTGATACCACATCCACATACGTGGTCTGATAAAACCCACCTGCTGGACTCAGATTTTAATTTAATTTAATTTCACTCGGTTTCATTTCACTTCATCATAAATTTATCAGGTTATTTAATATATATATATATATATTAAATAATATATTATATAATATATATTTCATATATATTCCAATGACAAGTCCGTGTGTGATCAGATTCCTCGAAATGTGCTGCGTAAATACATTACACGATTCAGACAAATCACGTCTCGCGTTGTCTAAATTCATAAAAGGAATTAATTCTTTTAAAATTTTTAAAGAGAAGGCTCCCTTCACACACTATCAAAAGGTTAACTGAACTTGTCAACCTTGGGTGAAAAATCATCGTTGAACGTAACACGTTGGAATTTTATGAATTATGTATTAAAAATCATTATAAAACTTTGAAGTTCAGTAAATTGCACCCAAATATCTCTGATCTCGTTCGTCTTACAAAGTCGCATATCAAACATGTTAAACAAACGACTCAGCTGAGGTAGTAGAATCACTTCGAATAACCCGATTTATTTAATCAGGCTCATCACACATTGTGATTCGAATAATTTGGCTTCAAAAGAAAGCCAAGGTGAAATGTCATCATCATCGAATTGTGTTGCTATTTTAGAAATTCTGGGTTACAATACCATGTTGATTGGTATTTTAACTACACACAAATATGACCAGAAGCATCAGTGGTCTTAATATAACATTTATTGCTTTAGATGATACATGTAATTTGGCTAGAAAGTAGATATGAAATTTGGTTGGTAAAATGTATGTGTCTTGCCATTCAGTAACTAACGTGACAGGTTCCAGTTATTCAAAGTAATGAGCCATTCCTATCACACGCGTTGAGTGCAGATTCAGTTATCAAACTCTCTCTCAATCTACTAATATTACTTTTTACAACTTCATCTCTCTCACACCTTATTTTGTGGTTGTGTATAAATGCATGCAGTGCGACTGCTGAGCTTCCTGTTAAATCTTTTTTTCTAAGGGGTCAATTATTATAAATTTATTGGGTACAGGATTTCATCATGCGCTGGCATTGGTAAGGGAACCATTAGAAAACCTGGGAGTACTGGACAGCTGTCATTGCAAGAGTTTTGTAAACTATACTACTTGTTTAATTGGGTCAAACTAAAGGGTCCCCGAGTGAGTTTATCAATTTAAATGTCGCCCTAATTACTGCTTTATTAAGGAACATACGAAGGATCTCTGATGCCTCTCCATATATGATAAAATTGTGGTCCCTTATGGCTTTCTTACTCATATCGTCACTACTATTTTCACCACTATTTTTATTTTGCTTTTACCTTTACTGATATTCCTAATGAATTTTTTACGGATGGTTATTTACAACCAGCGCTTCCTCTGTCTGTTACGTTTCAACATATAAGTGTTTTCGCATACTACTCAGTGATACTGCTAGGTTTGTTAGAGAACGCTTAACTAAGCCTGCTTTCACAGAGAACGGATGAGATGAATGCAAGTCAGAATATATAATAAAAAAAATTCTGCAGGATACATTTCTGGATGAAGCAGACATAGAAAATAAAACTCTCCATTTTAGAAACGAATACGATTTCTGAGCAGACTAGGAAATATCTACTTCACAGAATATATTCCATGATAACCAGCTCACCTGAAATTATCACTCAGAATACTAGGAAGTGAACAGCAAAGTTGCAAGTAAATAAACAAACCAGATTGAAAGTTAAAACGGTCCGAATTAATACATGAAATTGTGTAATAACCCGGAAAGATGTAGAGTTATGAGACTGACTCACTTGTTGCGAGTATCACCTGGCTCAGAAGCGCAGAAAGTGACAACGATTTGAAGATCCATTTGAAAACTTGAGGCAACGGAAGACTACAACGACTGTTCTATGGGTGGTGTTATTTAGTTAAAACGTGGATCTCAGATATGGAAAATACCACTGAACAGAAAGTGTTCACTGGAAACATAAAAATATATGAAATACACATAGAAAGTATTCACACTGAATACAAATGAGAATATTCTACATTTGACAGAGCGTCATCCCAGCATGAAGACCTCATGCAATGAACTACCTAATCGATGAAATCTAATATCTACTTGAACCCTGATAGGAAGAAAATCACTCAGAGGAGTAGTGCAGATGTTAGACTTTCGGACCTAGCAAACGGACTAGGAAATATTATTTTTACATAAAAAAAATGTTATTCGCATTCGACATTGTCCCCTAAGGAAATTACGACTATATTTTTAAAGCTATTTGATGGTCAGTACTGAAGACATTTTAGTCAATAATGTTCTTAATTTTCATTCACTGAGCTCTTAATTGTCACTTATCTACTTAAGCTACTAATCATTTACAAGTAATAAGATTGTGCTCTTCAAAAATAAAGGTCGTACTTGAGTGTCTGGTGCTCTATGGTAGAACTGGTTGATGTGAATTAAGTCCAGAGCTTAGATTTTAGGAAACTATTCGTCTAAAACTCACTGTATAGAAAAGAAATATATGCATATATATACATCTAAATATATTTATATATGGATACCAAAAGTGTTACTGAAACCTGTTGTATTTCTTTTCAAATTACATTGGGAGATATTAGACTGATAAGTAAATAATATGCATTGAATTAGTCATACGGAAAGACAGGTGCGAATGTTTTCCAGGTCATGTTCAAATAGATAAGGGTAGAGAGTATGAGAGATCAAAATTAAAATAAATTGCTTCAAGTACATCACTTAGATAAACAATCAGTCATTAGAGAGTATAACAAGAATTGCGAACAGAGTAATATCAATAGTAATAGTTATAATAATAAGAATAATAATGGTGTTGAAGTGAGTTAAGGTAATGCTGCTGGTAAAGGCTAGTTTTCAATGAATCAAGAATAATAATAATAAAATTAATAAGAGGTAGAATAATAAGTAAAACGTTTTACCATGGCAAATACAGAGTCACCACCATCTCTTTTTGTACACAAAGACCTGGTTTATAAACTCGAATTGCACAAGCCTCTGCAATTTCAAGCATCTTCTTGTTTCTTTGTCTGCTGACCATAGTGAATGACCTGACAACGTCGATATCATGTCCGTAGTCCACAGTATGTTTTTTTAATGTGGATTTTGGCACTTTGCATTTAGCTGTTTTCAACCATGTTGGTAAATGCTTCGTCGTACGACGTATGTATTCGCTTCCACAGACACATTATTTCTGTGAAGAAATGAAGGGACTTGGTTATTCGTGCTATGGTTATTTAACATATGTCCACTGACTAAAGGTAAATT